GCTTAGCAACTCACCCTGTATAAAAACGTCATAACCAATAGTTCAGTCATTAGAGAGATTCAGCTTGCAAAAGATGGGGTAGTCGCGATTTTGATATAATATGTTGTTCAGATTGAAGCCCAACAAGAATTTGAGTTTTCAACCTTGGGCGCGGCCGGCTTCCTCCGCCATCTTGGATTTAGTGTGCACAAAAATGGGTTTTCTAACATAACTGCTGAACGGTCAACTTTAGAAAAAAAGCATGAAAAATAGAGAAAATTGAATTTTCTACAATTTTTGTATGAAACTTTTTTTTGTAGCTGTTACCTGTAATGAGCTATAGCTACAGAAAGTGAAATATATTTTTTTTAATCTATCGCGAATGGTAAACTATCATTTAATCGACTCAAAACTCGTTGTTAAAGTAACACTTTATTTGAAGTAGTGGAATCGAACAATTTTTACCCACTCATTTGTCAATTTTACCCACCCATACGTCAATTTTACCCGCTCATACGTCAATTTTACCCACTTGTTCAAATCTTTTATAATAATTATAGTATTTTTGACAGAAATCTGATATTTTGCATGATTGACAACACCAGAAATGTGTCAGTTTGTCAATTTTTCATAATCAATGTAAAATTTTAGCTCATTTTAATTTATGATTTTAGTAATTGTGATAAATAAAAAGTGGCTCAAGAATAAAATAGAATATTACACACGACGGTAAAAAAGCTTTACCTGTTCGTGGAATTAATCCACTCGCTCCTTTGTCGCTCGTGAATCAACATTTTCCACTCACAGGTAAAGCTTCTTTTTACCGTCTTGTATAATAAATAACTATTAATTCGCATTTTTACTATATTTGTTCTGTTTTTAACATAATGACGATTGAAAAACGATAAAATTTACCTGATGAAATTTATTTATCTTTGGCGTATACAATATACGACTAAATATACAGGGTTGTCGTTATGTATGGAAACGGTCTGATATTTCAGAACCGGCTCGAAAAAAAATTACAATATTTCCTACCTGGGGGTTTTTGGGAATGCCCGATTCAATGGTGGTATTTGCAATGTTGCCAAGTTTACCGTTTCTAAGATGTCGTATGTAACTTGATTTTTTTAAATGGATGCCCCTTTTTATTTTTATTGCAATTAATTCAGCGTCCCAACATTACTAAAACCCTTAAATGCCAAAACTCCATTTTACTTGGTTTTTGAAATATGGCAACACAGATTTTTTGTTGAAATGTATGGAAACAGTCTCGTATTTCAGAAAATACTCCAGCAAAATCTACAATATTCCCTACCTGGGGGTTTCTAGGAATGCCCGATTCAATGGTGGTATTTGCAATGTTGCCAAGTTTTCCATTCCTAAGATGCCGTATGTAACTGCCCGTAGGGGCATCCATTTAAAAAAAAAATCAAGTTACATACGGCATCTTATAAGCGTTAAACTTGACAACACTGCAAATATCACCATTGAATGGGGCATTCCCAAAAACTTCCAAGTAAGGAATATTGTACATTTTGCGAAAGTCTTTTCTGAATTACGAGACTGTTTCCATACATTTTAACATGAAATATGTGTTGCCATATTTCATGAACCAAGTAAAATGGAGTTTTGGCATTTAGGGGTTTTAGTAATCTTGGGACGCTGAATTAATTACAATAAAAATAAAGAGGGGCATCTATTGAAAAAAATCAATTTACATACGGCATTCAAGAAACGGTAAATTTGGCAACATTGCAAATACCACCATTGAATCGGGCATTCCCAAAAACTCCCAGGTAGGAAATATTGTAATTTTTTTTCAAGCCGGTTCTGAAATATCAGACCGTTTCCATACATAACGGCAACCCTGTATATCAATTAGTACTTACTATATAATATTATTTAGAGCCGTTTGCACCGACCATTTTAAGGAAGGCTTAACGATAAGTATTCCTTAAAGTGACATTTTTACATGAAAAACTGTCATTTTAGGGTATACTTATCGTTAAGCCTCCCTTAAAACGGTCAGTGCAAATGGCCATTAGCCATTTTTATTTTTGGTAGGTAGGTATTATCCGTTCACAATCCGATGTCCACAGGTACAGGTAAAATTTATCACCTTTCAATGCTATTTGATAGGGAAAGGTGATAAATTTACCTGCACCTGTGGACATCGGATTGTGAACAAGATATACATATATTGTGATTTATTATGACGAAACATCAAAATACTCATTTCCAAACCAACAAGCGGTGGAGTAAATGGCGGGCTTTTTTTATTGTGGTATCTCCAGTAGAAGTAATCCACATATCATTTCTCTCTTCTTCTATGTCAACCTCTAGTTATGCACTCCTGGTATCTTCTAATTGTTTCCATCTTCCCCTATCCTTCGCCAATCTTATCCAAAGTTTATTTGCCACTGTCTTTATGTCGCTTACCTATGTTTTTTGAGGTCTTTCCATGCTTTTTGTTGTCTCCCTTGGTCTCTATTCCAGGATTTTTCATGTTCATCTGTCGTCATCGTATCTGGCCATGTGGCCAGCCCATCGTCATTTCATATTTGCTACCTCCTCTACAATGTCCCTGATTTTCGTTTTGTGTCTTTTCTCCGGTGTTTCAAATTTTGTCCCTTAGTGATATTCCAAGCATGTTTTTTTCCATCGTTCCTTGGGTGGTTTCCAATTTTTCAGCGGATTTTTTGGTGAGGGACATGGTCTTTAATCAGTAGGTACACACCGGTACTATGCGAGTGTCGTATACTTTTCTTTCTAGGTTTATGGGAATGGATTTATTTTTCATTTCAGCATCCTGGTTTTATTTCCCTAGTCTGATGTCATTGCCCTATATATAGTGTTCGACGTTTTCTATCCTCTGGTTCGATTTTGTTATATTTGTCTGTTCCTGACTTATTAGACATGCTACATATTATAATCTACCTAAAGCAACGAATCCTCATATTCGACAACTGTATTTTCCACGTCTGTGTCATTTCCGTTAGCGCTCTCAATTGAAAAATATTGTTCTCGATTTTCACAGGTTAGTCCATTGCAAAATCCACAAACAATGGAACATTCGAGGCCAGCTTTCGACATCCACAAACTCCGGTACAACCTTTTTTGCAGTTGCATGAGCATTAATCCATTGACAGTTTTTTCCAACGCCTAGCTTCTATGGATCTTTTTTCAATACCCATCCATTTTTGAACTTGATAGTAGGTATGTTCTTAATGAATGATAGCGAGTAGCATCTTTTATTGGAGGCAATGATGCAAGACTCAGTTGTTTTGATGGAAAATTTAATAAAGCGCTGGTAATCTCTACAGCTTTATCTTCTTTGGCATCTGGGTTAGTAAAAATTTTGATATCTACACAAAAATTTGGGTTTTTCTGTAGAAGTTGTGAAAATTTTGTTTTTCCGTGACTGAAAATCGCCGAAGGCGTATCATATCCACTGAATGGATCGAGAAAGAAAATATGTTCTGAGAGTTACTTTTGTTTCAAGCAGTTTGATGAATAGGTACAGTTTTCCAAAAGTCTTGCCTTTTCCTGGTATTCGCAAGAAGATATTGTTTTGCGATGGAGCCAATGCCGATGGTTATCCAGTATAAAATACTGGCGTTCCATAAAGAAATGAGTATGCAGCGCTTCATAAATAAATAGGATTCCAGGACAGAATACACAAATGGCTTTGTTGTATTTTGGTATGTAATATATACAGAGAGATATTTTGAAAACCTACAATGGCTATATAGGCCAAGCAATGAAGGAAGTTTACCTCAACATAATTAGAAGTTAACATTTTTTGGGGTGGATCGGTTCATTTTCATGTGCTTAATAACATATTAACTTTGCGACCTTGTACTTCCATAGGGTTTTTAGTTAGGGGTGGTTTTTGATTTTTTTTTTTTGGTTTCTCAGATAGTCAATTGTAAGTTTTCAAAGTGTCACCCTGTAGATTAATTGCATATCATAGATTTAAATAAATGCAAATTTATATAATATAATGAAAATATAGTAACTTAATGACATTTTCGTACTCATGAATAACAATTCAATTGAATTCAATATCGAGAAACTTTAACCCTGGTTTTTTTAGCTATAGCTCATTAAAGATAATAGCTACAAAAAAAAGTTTCATACAAAAATTGTAGAAAATTCAATTTTCTCTATTTTTGGAGTAAACACTTTTTTCCTGAAGTTGACCGTTCATGAGGTATATTAGAAAAACCATTTTTGTGCACACTAAATCCAAGATGGCGGAGGAAGCCGGCCCCGCCCAAGGTCGAAAACTCAAATTTTTGTTAAGGACTTCAATCTGAACAAGATATGTCAAAATCGCGACTACCCCACCTTTTGCAAGCTGCGGGTCTTTTTTTCGCTCTAATGATTGGCCTACAAACGCTTGTAGATGAAATTATTTTCCAGTCAAAGTGAATAAACATAAGCAGATTAAATCCTTCTGACAACAATTGTCAAAAGTTGTCTAATCCAATAGCCTATTCACAGAGGTATAAGCAATTAATGAACTTTTTTTATTGGAGTTTTGTTACTCTTCAGTTCAGTTTTACGATTTATTGAACGGACAGGCATACTACTATTATGCTTCCAAGAAACTTTGAAGTACCTAACAAGAAATTATGGTTTTTTGAAATCTTATTGCTATATTATTTTTATAGTCTAGATTTGTTATCTTAAAGATGTTAATTAAGTAAATTCGAAATAAATTAATGTTGTTTTATATTGCATCAAGTTCTTAAATGATTTTCAAATCTTTAGTAATTTATTGAAGATATAAATTGAGGCGATAAATAATCACTACTAATGGAATTATCTAATTTCCTCTTTTAATTTTATAGTCACATCTTACTTAGATTCTTTCCTCGAAGATGCAGGTTCTTATGAATTTATTGCTAATTGCTTTCCTCAATCCAAAAGAAAATTTTACAAGGAACACGACAGCACTGTTAAATTTTTAAATATGTATAGGTATACTATAAGAGATATATTGTTCATTTTAGGTCCGGAAATTAAAAACAGAAAAGTGCGCCAAATTTAAAAGTGGTCTTTATTTTCAATAATTTCTAAGAGGGAGGATACAATAGCAAAGGACATAATTTTCTGGTAAGTTATTTTTAGGCTCAAAATTGCAAAAATATAAACAAGATAAATTTCGTAAATCAATCGTCAATTCCTCAATCCATTTATTTTCGGAAACGTAATATATTTACATAGTAATATGTAAAGCTATCGCTCCTAAATTAAAGCAAAGAAAACGATTATCGGTGTTCCAGTTTGATCGTTATTGTTTTAACAACGTGTTAGTTGCATACGTGAAATGGAAACTCTTAACGATGTATGAAATGGCGTATTATGAGTGCAAGTTTCAAAGCCGCTTCGTACTTAACTTTAAATTCTGCGACGGATGCCAAGTTTATTTTAGAATCCGTGACGCACGGTAATATCCGATACCACCATTAAAAACGACTTTATATTAATGCTTTACTACCTATATAAACATGAAATGGTACTCTATCCGTGTCCAGATATTCAATCAAATCAACTTAAAATATGTTTTATTGTTATAAGGTTAGGCAAAATTTTGTTGCCTTTCAGTATACAGAAAAGTGGTCTCCTTCTTCTTTTGCCTGTTATCATCCATCCATCCATCCATCCACAATTCTAGCTAGCAAACTCCACTTGTCTCTAGTGTAATTCTCCGGTTGGTTGGTTTAACACAGAGTCAGGTGTGCTCGCGTACCGATTTGCACTGCAGCCTTAAGGCTTATTGTGCTACCCCCTCACTTAAACAAGTTCCGTCCCTTCGATGAAACCTAGCAGCTTGCTCGCAAGTTTCTCATGCCGGAGTAGTATCTCGCCGCGTTGTATTCCCCCCAAAAAAATTTGTCTTCTGCGAGCCAGTGCTTCACAGTCGTATATTATGTGTAAGGCAGTTTCCTCATCTTCACCACCTTTTACATGTCGTTCGAATGTCTTGTTTCGGGTGTGGAGCGCCAAAAGTCGAGGTGTTGATGGATCGACTACCTTTCAACTGCCGTCTTTATAACCTGCTTTGATATCCCAAGTGTTGGTTCTGGTCTTGTGTATGGTGCAGCTGCGCCCGCTTTGACAAGTTCGTCAGCCTTTTTGTTGCCCTGAATGCCCAGGAACCCACAAGAGCTTCATCCTGTTATTTCTTGACGACAGAACTTCCAGGTCGTGTAGGTATTCCATCGTTATCTGCGTAAGTAAATTGATGAGAGTTGAGAGCTTTTAGAGCAGCCTAACTGTCTGAGAGGATGTTTATGTTCTGGTTGTTATAACCGAGCCTTAGAATCTCTTGTGCGCATGCTTGAAATGCATGGATTTCTGCCTGGTAAACTGTGGCGTTAAGCCCCAAAGGGGTGTTTTGTTCTTATCTTGATCTTTCTCCATATATGTCAGCGCCAGCTCCATTTCCTGTTTTGGAGCCGTGTGTCTGTATACCAGACCAGGCGTCTTCTTATTATGTGAGGCGTTCCTTTCTGTCATATGCTTGGGTAGCATTTGACTTTGAATGATTTTTCAAACTCATGGGTTACCACCATTCGATCCGTTTGCATTTCCACTATTTTATCGTCCATCAGATCGATAAACTTTGTGTAGATGTTATTGCCCGATGTTTTTAGTCTTCCGGGTAGTTTGAGGTCGACTATAGACGATCCATCTCATCTGTGGTCTATCTCTTGATATGTGTCCTTCATATTGTCTCAATAGTATCAGTTCTGTTCCTGTCATGCAAATTGTCCGGCGAAGCTCTATTTTAGATGGATGACTTTAGTTGCTACGCCCTCTACCCTGTATCGCTCTTATACAAGCGTTTCTCTCTATGTCGAAGAGTCTCAACTTCAGCAATTTAAAGATGGTTTGTGGACATTGTTCTTGGTAAATGTCCAGGCCTGGCCATAGTGGCCATTATTATTATAGGTACCTAGTACATATTGGTTGAAAACCGCTAATCAATGGTAAGCTTGCAAAATCTGATTATGCTAGTCTTCTATAGTCTAGTTTCCCGAATACATCCTCCATTGCTTAAGGGGAAAGTTACAGCGGGATGGAATTGTTTTACTGTCCAAATGGCACTTCTGAAGATGTAACAAATGGTTGGTGATGATTTTCAAGAACACCATGTATATTTGGGTTAGTTTGAAAGCCGAACTACGACACTATTATTTTATTTCTCTGGTATTTTTCCACAATTTTATCTAAAACATGGTTGGATAGACTTGCCAGGACAGCCTCTTTTCTTTCTTCCATTAGGTATTTCGTATTTCAGTTGTCACCTCATGATTTGTGGTTTCCCATATACTGAATTACCTTCTCAATTTAAAATTCTTTGATATGTGATATATCTTTGGAACACATAACTGTATTGGTTACTATCCAGTGTGTCCAAGATAAGGATGGGATAGCATTAGGAACTGGAGAACGGTTAGAGTTACAATGTTGGTTAGATTAGGAAAAAGTTGCGCAATTTAACGCTCAATCAAACTCCCAGAAATTCAAAGCATACTGCAAAAGTCAAAAGACCTAAAAAAAATCAAGAGAAGGAGGAAGAAACGGTTAAAAGCATTGAAAAATTAAAAGTGAAAGTAGACTCCCTTAAAGGCTTTATGGAACGAAGGAGGAAGGAAAATGAAGCCATCAAGGATGAGATAACAAATATTAAAAAAGAACTTAAAGATGTGGATAAGAAAATCCCTGTTGGAGTGGGCTATGCCGATACATTGAAGAAGCTTGGAAAAAAGTTGATACCATAAAAACATCAGAAGATAAAGAAGCAGTTGATCCTAGGATTGAGCTCACTCTAATAGAAATCCAGGAGAGAGAACGCCGAGCCAACAATATACTGGCGTTTAGCGGAGCACTTTTTGCAAAAATGAATTTAACTCTGCCGCAGGATGCCAAAGTCTTTAGGCTGGAAATTGAAATGCCAAATAAAAAAAGACCGATAAAAGTGAACTTGCCAGACAGACAAGAAGCCTTAAAAGTTCTCAAAGCAAGAAAAAAAAAGGAACAAAATGCACCAGGTGTCTACATAAAATCAGCCCAAACCCAAAATCAGAGAAAATACTTTAAACAAATCTAGAAAAGCAAAAAAGTGAAGGAAAAGATATCATCATTAAGTACCTACATTGGCGGGATCCCTGAAATCATAGAGAAAGCATCAAAAAACTGACTTCAGTTGTGAACAAAATTGATGAGTGAAAGGCGAGGATTTTGACTGTATGCCCAACACTAATCATGCTCTCTGAAGCCTGGTTAGGAGATGATATAAATGATAGTCTTGTGAGGCTTGATGGTTACAGTATCTTTCGAGAGTCCACATCAAAAAGGGAGAGGAGTCTGCATACTTGTACTTGTCAAAAACCAAGTCAGCGGATACAATCTGAAATGCAGCCTCTCCCAAACCTAGCAAATAGAAGCACCTGTTGATGCTGTATGGCTAGACCTACAATTGGACAAGGTTAAATTCCTGGTAGCATGTATTTACAGGCCAGGTAGCACAACAACTGAGCGAGTCAACACTCAGATGATAGGAAGTATATGCAGGAGGGCATTTGCATCTAGAAACTCATCGTTTTAAGAGATTTCAACTACCCCAGTATAGACTTGGATAACCTGTCAATATTCCCAGCTGGAAAAAAAGCACAAGACTTTATGGATATGTACCAAAAAACCAATGTATATCAACTAGTCAACTTTCAAACACGATATAGGAACAATCAGTGCTCGCTGGATCTCTTTTTGTGCAGCGATCAGAAAAGCGTTTTTGATTTGAAATCTGAGCCACCCGTTGGTGGTAGCGATCATTTAGTAATCACTGCCACCAAAACTGACTATTGAAGTGATAAGAAGAAATTTCTATACAGTCAACTATGATGAGATTAACAACTATATTAGACACCATCCTGGAACCAACATGGTCCTCACAAGATTTGAAAGTTTCGAGATGCTCTTAAATGGGGCAATAGAACAATGTATTCCATTGAAGTCTGTGGAGGTAAGCCAGCAGCAAAAGCCTCCGATCTCACAATCAATCACTTTTTAAACAAATCAGCAAAAAACGTAAACTTTGGGATAAATATAAAAACAACAAATCTGACGAGAACTACCAGGGCTATATGACCCAAAATAACACACTCAAACAAAAACTGAGCGAGGCTAGGAGAGTATATGAGCATGGCTTAGTTACAGCAGATTCACCAAAAAGGATCTACAAATATATTAGCAGAAACTTGAACTCTAAGGTGTCAACAATAACACTTAGAGATTCAATAACTTAAGAAGTTTTAGACAATGAAGCCATAGCTGAAAAGTTTGCTGAACAATTTGACAAATGCTTCACCCAACAGCAGCATTTATGTCTTCCACCCCTATCTGCAAATACCAGAGTCTGGAATTCCATAGACACCATAGAATTTACAGAAGAAAAAGTCAAGGGAGCCCTTAATAATATGAAAAAGGCCTCAAGTCCAGGGCCAGACAGGATACCAATCATTATGCTACAAAACTGTAATGAGTCGGTTGGTTCTCTACTCTCTGGGGTAATGCCGGAATGTGTCGACACAGGACGCATACCAAAGAAATGGAAGCTCTCTATAGTGACCCCCCCCCTGTTTAAAAAAGGCAACAGACACAAACCGGAAAATTATCAACCCATAAGTCTAACATGTAACCCATTGAAGTGCATGAAAAAAGTCATGGTCGAGGAACGGTTTTTTTCATTGAGAACAATTTAATACCACCATCACAGCATGAGTTTCTATCAAGATGCTCCACTGTCACCAACCTACTGGAGAGTCTTAATGACTGGACAGAAAACCATGATAACCTTAAGCCCACTGATATAAAATATCTTGATTATGCAAAGGCTTCTGATAAAGTGCCACATAACCTGTTGCATGGAAAACTAGAACATTTTGGAGTATAGGGAAGGCTGTTGACACTCATCAGAGATCTTCTGTGTGAAAGATACTACGAGGTACGAGTCAATGGAACAATTTCAAGACACCTTGTGAGGAGTGGGGTTGTCCAGGGATCGGTTCTGGGCCCATTGCTCTTTGTAACATACCTTTTTGATCTTGT